ACCAGCCCTGGGCACACCAGGCTTTCCACGAGTACCGGCGGCGGATGGGGCGGCGGTACAGCTCCGTGCGGGAGCTGGAGCACAGGCAGAGCGTCTTCGTGCACAACATGAGGTACAGGCAGGCGGGGGAGTGGGTGATGGCTCTCTGGGGGTGCTCCTCAGCCCGAGGAGGAGGTGGCAGTGCCAGCCGGTGCTGTCCCCGCCGTGCCCCAGGTTCGTGCACTCCCGGAACCGCGCCGCGCTCTCCTACACGCTGGCCCTGAACCACCTGGCCGACCGCACGCCCCAGGAACTGGCAGCCCTGCGGGGCCGCCGGCGCAGCGGGGACCCCAACAACGGGCAGCCCTTCCCCACCCAGCTCTACACCGGCCTCATCCTGCCTGAGAGCCTCGACTGGCGCATGTACGGTAGGTGTGGGGTGGGGGGACCCAACCCGGTCCAACTGAGACCCCCCTGCTCCCTGTCACTGCACTGAGGAGCCTGTGGGGCTTTGCTGCTTCTGGGGGTCCACATCTCCCCGTGGTCCCTGCTCTGCTCGGCAGCTGGATCAAAGCTGGGTTTAAGCTGGGCTCTGTGAGGGTGCTGAGGTACTGGGATGGGCTGTACAGAGATGCCTCATTCCTGGAAGTGTTCAAGGCCAGGTTGGACGGGGCTTGGAGCAATCTGGGCTAGTGGAAGGTGTCCCTGGCCATGGCAGGGGGTGGAACAGGATGAGCTTTAAGGTCCCTTCCAGCCCAATCCATTTTGGGATTCTGTGATTAAAGGCAGCTGGGTCAGCACTTGGCCCTCATTCAGTCTGGTGCTCCAGGGACAGGTGTGACATCTGAAGCCACATCCTTCCCTCACAACTCCATCAGCTGTGAGTGACACCCCCAGAGTTTGCCCCAGCCCAAGGGTGGGGATCCCAGTTTTGCTGGTGCATTCCCCACCTTTCCTGATTAACACCAAGCCCTGGCTGTGCTGCCTCTGGAACTCACCTCCTGCCTCAGTTTCCCTCCCACCTGCCCCCATCCCTCAGTGCCCACCCAGTTTCTCACCCCCCACCCCGCTGTCCCCAGGCGCCGTCACCCCCGTGAAGGACCAGGCTGTCTGTGGGTCGTGCTGGAGCTTCGCCACCACGGGGGCCATGGAAGGTGCCCTGTTCCTCAAGGTGGGAGCGGGGCTGTGCCCCACGGGGGTGGATGGAGTGCCTGCAGGGTGCCTGTCCCCATTCCTGCAGCGTGTCCCCCCCACAGACCGGCGTGCTGACCCCCCTGTCCCAACAAGTCCTCATCGACTGCTCCTGGGGCTTTGGGAACTACGCCTGTGACGGGGGGGAGGAGTGGAGAGCCTATGAGTGGATCAAGAAACACGGTGGCATCGCCAGCACCGAGTCCTACGGCACCTACAAGGGACAGGTAGGGGTGGCTCCATGTCCTTGACAGAGTCCCTAGTGCCTTGGAGCTTAAAACCACGGTGGGTCAAAGGCACTAGCAGGCTCTGGAGGTGTGGATGTCACCTCATCCCCAAGGCAGCAGGCTCCTGTGGTTCAAAGCACAGTCCAAAGCCAAGCCCCAGCGTTCAGCTGGGCAGTTTCATCACTGTGTGCCTCAGTTTCTCTTCTTGCAAAACAGGGGCAAGGCTCCTCCACCCATGGGTGGTGCTGTGGGTCACTCCGTACCCTGGGGAGCAGGGATGGAGCAAAGCTGCCTGGGGACAGGGATGTGGCTGCATGACACAGGCAACAGCCCCCCCGGGGCTTGGGGTGCAGAGCCAGCTCCCTGTGCAACTGGGAAAACATCCCCACCACCCTGGGCTTGGGAGCACAGCGGGAACGCTGTCACAGCCCAAACCCCGGATCGCTGGGAAGAGCTCCACGGGGAGCAGGCAGGGTGGGCACGGGGAGGGGGACCAGGGCGTGCTGCTGACAGTCTGTGTGTCCCCTGGGTGGGTAGAACGGTTTGTGCCACTACAACCAGTCGGAGATGCTGGCCAAGATCACGGGCTACGTCAACGTCACCTCGGGCAACATCACGGCCGTCAAAGCCGCCATCTACAAGCACGGCCCCGTGGCCGTGAGCATCGACGCCTCCCACAAGAGCTTCTCCTTCTACTCCAACGGCATCTACTACGAGCCCAAATGCGGTGAGTCGGGTGGCACACGGGGCACGGCGGGACCTGGGTGCCCAGGGAATTGCCAGGACAGCCAGTTCCCATCCTGGCAGTCCAGGGAAGGGCGGAGGGGACCGGCCCTGCAGTGCTCTGCGGCACTGTGGGCAGCCCTGGGAGCAGGGGTGCTCTCCAGGTTGGGATGTTCGCTGGACAGGGATCCTCTCCAGGCAGGGAGGTCGCCAGGCAGGAATGGTCTCTGGACAGGGATGCTCTTAGGTCAGGGGTGCTCTCAGGATGCTCTCAGGTCAGGATCTCTCTCTATGGGTAAGGATACTGTCCATACAGGGTTGCTCTCCAGACAGGGATCCTCTCCACACAGGGATGGTCTTCAGACAGGAATAGTCACTAGACAGGGATGGTCACCAGACAGTAATGGTCTCTGGACAGGGATGCTCTTAGGTCTGGAGTGCTCTCTGGATAGGGATGTTCTCTGGATACAGGTGGTCTCCAAACAGGGATGCTCACTGGATAAGGATGCTCTCTGACAAGGATAATCACTGTACAGGGATGTTCTCCAAACAGGGATGCTCTTAGGTCAGGGATGCTCTCTAGATAGGGATGATAATTGGGCAGGGATGCTCTTAGGTCAAGGATGCTCTCCAGACAGGGATGCCCTCTGAACAGGAATGCTCTCCAAATGAACCCTCTCCCACGTCATTCCCTGCAGACAACACACCAGGATCTCTGGACCACGCAGTGCTGGCCGTGGGCTACGGGGTCCTGCAGGGAGAGACCTACTGGCTCATCAAGAACTCCTGGTCCACCTACTGGGGCAACGACGGCTACATCCTCATGGCCATGAAGGACAACAACTGCGGCGTGGCCACCGAGGCCACCTACCCCATCCTGGCCTGAGCCACCCCGGCCCTGCGGGGACAGCCCTCGGTGACACTCTGGGCACCCAGCCCTGGATCAGCCCCTTTGGTGGAGCCCCCACGCAGCAGGAAGCAGGACAGGGCCAGGGGGTGCTGGACACGGGGCAGGATGGGGACCCAGCAGTGGGCTTGCCAATAAAGACACTGGAAAAATACCGGATGGCTTCTACAGCAGGGATTCAACTGCTGCCCACCCAGCTGTGCCCCCTGTGCAGACCCCAGTGACACATCCTGCCCCCAGGCTGGTTTTTCTCGGTCCTGTGGGACTCCAGGGGCCTCCCAGGGAGGGGACCTGCCTGGCAGAGCCAGCTGGCTCTCACAGCCCGTCCCAGACACCCGGGGCGAGGGGAGCGGCTTTTCCAGCCCTGTCTCTGAGGTGGAGCACAAACAACCCCAGGGATTTCTGCTGAGATGAGAAATTCCTGGCGTGGGGTGTCGGGGAGGGGGGAAGGCATCCACCCTCTGCCCCACTGCCCCGGTCCCTGTTGTGGCTGTGGGTGGGGACGTCACCGGGGTGTTTGCCACTGTCACCCTTCACCCCCTGGGGCTGCTCCCCCTTTACCCCGTGGCCATGGCTCGGCTGGGAGCTCCTAGTTTGGGATCAAGCCATCCTGGAGAACGGGATCAGTGCATGAGGATACTAAAACAGGGTGGGAAGTTCTCCCTGCCCTCAGCCTGGTGGTCTCCCATCTTTGCTGGCGCATCCTCAGGGCAGGATGCACGTCTGCAGTGGTGGGCTGTGATGGTTTTTCAGGCTTTTCATAGATTTCAGTTTTTTCACAGCTTTTTCAGGCCAGATCATTAAATTTCCTAGGCTTTTCTCCAGTATAACCTGAGTATCTCCTGAATATTCCTGAATATCCTGAATATTCTCCAGTATAACCTGAATATCCCTCCCAGAGAAAAACTAGATAATTAAAAAACAAAACCAAAACATGGGGGGGGGGGAAGAGGGGGAAAGCAAAACAATAACTCGCACTTGGATAACATTTTGGAAGACCTGCTTGAGTCAGGCTTGGTATCACGACTTCAAAAGCTGTTCATCACTGTCCAGGAATGATTGGGATGCATCATCCCAGCCAGTCATTCGGAGGGTCAGTGCTCAGGCACTTCATCTCTTGTTTTGCCTTCAGCACTTACAACTTCCACGGGTCCCTGGGGAGGTGCTGCAGCCCGGGGGGCACCAGCCCAGCCCTGCACCCCGGGGTGCAGCCCAGTCCAGCCCAAGGAGACCCCGCAAAGCCCTTATCAGCTTTGTTTGGGGCTCGTTGTCACCTTGGGCTGGGGGCCAGCTGGACACGCGGCAAGTGGGAGGGGTGAAGGCCACTCTGCACCCGCTCCTCCCCAGGGCTGTTTTGCCATGTTGCTCCCGACACTTTATCTGCATTTTTCCCCCCTTTTTCCAATGAAACCCCCTCTAATCGCAGTCCTGGCCTTGCCCTGATGGTGTATCCGTAAGGATGCAGGGGTGCAAACAGCCCCCACCTCCCCATCTTTCTGTCCCCCCTTTGGTGGGGTCGCCTTGGCTCCTGTCCCACCCCAGGGGGGCTCTGGGGTGCCTGGGTGGGTGTCACTGCACCCCGTTGCCCCCCGGTTGCTGCAGATGCTCCCCCTGCTCGCAGTGGATCCTGGCTGGCAAACTGCCACACCGGGGATGGGTGGGGGCACAGGGACACCCCCAGCACCCATCCCCAAACCCCCAATCCATGGGGCACCCACGGGGGCCGGGGTCCCACCCTGACCCCCCCTCCCCAAGCCCCACCAGCACACGGCATCAGCACCCACCCTGGTGTGGGTGGGGAGGGATGGGGGAGTGCCCGTGGTGGGACAGGGGGGCAAGACAAAGCCCCGCCTTCCCCCTGGTCTCATCCCAGCCCGGGGAAGGGGGGGGCTGTGCCCGTTGGCCGCCCGCAGCTCCCTGCCCACCCACCGGTGGTATTTAATCACCCGTGGGTGCAGGGCAGGATGGGCAGGATGGAGGGGCTGGGGGGGCTGCTAATCCTGGGGGCTGCTGTGCTGCTGGGTGAGCCCCCGCTCGGGGTGGGGGGGTGGGTGCTGTGCCACCATCCCGGGGTGATGCCATCGTGCCCCTCGCCCTGGGCACTGTGGTGGTCCTGGGCCGCTGAGGGTCTTTGCCCTGGGACGGGGCTGCTCTGTCCCTGTCCCCATTCCTGGAGCTGTGGCAGGGCAGTGGGCAGTGTTCCATAGGGGGGTGGGTATTTGGGGTGTGCAGGGGGAGCTTTGGGGTGCCTCTGAGCTGGTCACACCCCCAGGGAGATTGGAGATGTGCTGGGGGGACTCTCGGTCAGCCACAGGGTGGGTGGAGGAGTGGGGACCCCTGGCTTGGGGACCCCCAGTGTCTGCCCTGCCTTGCCACCAGCACAGGCTCCCCTGGGTCTGTCCCCCTCTCCTGAGGGACAGCAGGCCAAGGGCCAGCACTGCTGCCAGCCCCTGCGGTGGGGAGATGGGAAATCAGGGGGGTTGGGGTTTGTTTCTGTTTTTCTTGCAGGAGCAGAGTGCAGAGGTCCTTTGGAGACACCCACATTTGGGGACATCTACCATGTCACAGGTACTGCTCAGGGACAGGGTGCCCAGCCCAAGGGGGTCCTGCACCTCCAGCCACCGGCTCCCACCTGACATGCCTGAGCAAGGAGGCTCCCATTCCCCCAGGAATGCCGGAGTTGGGGTGCTCGGGGCTGTGGGGCGCTGCTGGGGGTGACCATGGGGTGATGCTACGGGACCCTGGGGTGCTCCAGAGGGTCAGGGAAGGGGGACGGGGGATGCCCTTGAGGCTCAGCCCCCTCCACAGCCCCTGAGTCCCACCTCTCTGTGCCCACAGGAATCATCAGCCTGCCCTATGCAGAGATCAGGGAGCCTTTTGAAGCCTGGTACAACCTCACGGGGGGGAAGAGCCGCATCGAGTACTATGGTGGTGGGTGCAGAAGGGGGTCTGGCCCCCCGACCCCTCAGCATCCCCTTCCTTCTGCCCCAGCACCTCTGGGGAAAACACCAGGACAGCCCCGAGAGGCATCACTGTGCCAGGCTTGACATTCCGTGCCCGCAGGCCAAGTGGTCACCTACCAGTTTGGCTCCATGGAGCCCTTCGGCGCCAGCTTCAAGGTGACCCCGGAGACCACGGAGACGGAGCTCAACGTCCGCAAGTGCTTCCGCATCAACGGCACCATCGGGGCCCTCATCGCCCCCCAGAGCGTCTTCCCCAGCCTGGAGAACTTCAGGGTGAGCCTGGAAATGGCCCTCCAGGATGTGGGATGGGGCAGGCAAAGGGAGGGACGAGGGCACTGCGTGGGTAAGGGGTGTCTGGGGTGGTACCTCCTCGTGAGGTGGGAATTGGTGAACGCATGGCTGGATGTGGCCGTGGGTGAGGGACTGGGGGGGTTGCATTCGGCGTGGCAGGATGCAGGGTAGGGGTGGCATCACCGTGGGGTGCCCCAGCTCACGCTGGGGTGGCACCCCGGTCCCTGCCGTGTGTCCCCAGCGCGTGCGGGAGGAGCGGTTCCGAGGGCAGCGCTGCGCCGTGTGGCAGAACGTCTCCTACTGGGGGCACAAGAAGAACGTGTACACGCTGCGGGTGGGCAGCTCTGCCCGCGGCCCCGTGCCCCTGCACTACGAGGTGAGGGGCTTCAACAGCCTCCTGGGCTCCCACTACGACAAGTACGAGATCGACTATTCCTCCTTCAGCCACCGCTTCCCGCCCGGCGTCTTCCAGCTCCCCGAGGGTGAGCGTCCCTGGGCACCCATGGCCAGTGCTGACACCTGAACACTCTTAAATTTGGGCTTTTGGGAGGGTTTAGATTGGATATTAGGAAGAAATTCTTCCCTGTGAGGGTGGCGAGGCCCTGGCACAGGTTGCCCGGAGAAGCTGTGGCTGCCCCATCCCTGGAAGTGTCCAAGGCCAGGTTGGATGGGGCTTGGAGCAACCTGGGCTAGTGGAAGGTGTCCCTGTCCATGGCAGAGGGATGGAACAAGATGAGCTTTAAGGTCCCTTCCAGTCCAAACCATTCCAGGATTCTATGAGCCTGATAATTCTGGTGAATTGGTTCGCCTGGGAAAAAAGCAGGATGAGAGCTGGGGTGATGTGGGCGCTCCCCTGATGCTCAGGGTGCTGGGTGGGATGCTGGGAGCTCAAGAGAGGGCTCTGGAAGGATGTGTGGATGCAGATCCCCCCTGGATGGGACGGGCAGCCCCGATGGTTTTGGGGGCCCAGGAGAGCCCAGCCCAGCCCAGGAGGCACCAGCACCGCCCATGTCTCGTGGCAGGGGTGCAGTGTGAGCAGTGGCCCACGGGCAGCCCCGAGCACCTCCTCGTGGCCAACCCCATGCAGGAGTTTGTGGGGAGGGGGCCGGACACAGACCACGTCCACCACCGCCTCTTCCACCGCTACAAGGAGCAGTTTGGGAAGAGCTACGGCAGCGAGGAGGAGCACGAGCACCGCAGGCACACCTTCATCCACAACATGAGGTACGGGAGGGCAGGGGGGCTGGTGGGGCTCAGGGATGGGGTACCCTGCTCCCCTCTCACAGACACGTGGCACAGGATGTCAGGGGACAGGCTGGGGGGTCAGGAATTGGATCTCCACTCACCTCTTGGCAGGTGGAACAGGATGACAAGGCATGGGCTGGGGGGGCTCAGGGATGGGGCTCCCACTCCTCTTTCACAGACATGAGTTACAGGAGACCACGAGGATGGGCTGGGGGGGCTCAGGGATGGGGCCCTCACTCCCCTCTCACACCCCTGCAGCACAGGATGCCAGGGGGGGTCAGGGAGGGGGTTCCCCACTCCCCTCCCGCCGTGCCCCAGGTTCGTGCACTCCCGGAACCGCGCCGCGCTCTCCTACACGCTGGCCCTGAACCACCTGGCCGACCGCACGCCCCAGGAACTGGCAGCCCTGCGGGGCCGCCGGCGCAGCGGGGACCCCAACAACGGGCAGCCCTTCCCCGCCCACCTCTACACCGGCCTCACCCTGCCCGAGAGCCTCGACTGGCGGCTCTACGGTGAGGAGGGGGCTGGTGACACCAGAGCTGTGCACACTGGGGTCCGTGTGGGGACAGCCAGCAGCCCAGTTGGTCACGTGTCCCCACCCCGCTGTCCCCAGGCGCCGTCACCCCCGTGAAGGACCAGGCTGTCTGTGGGTCGTGCTGGAGCTTCGCCACCACGGGG